TCCAAGTCAAACATGTTATCATACCAATTACTGGAAGGTTCCAGATTCCAGTACAGGTCCTTCCACTCACCACTTGAAAGAGCTCGACAATGGTGGCATACCTGGATTCCTGTCCACGATGTCCTTTCAAAACGAAATATTTTCTTCAACCAGCTCCAGTCACCCCTGACTTCTGTTGTGGGAAGAGTAACGCGTCATGAGTTATCCATTTGCCAGCTTTTTTTTGAAGGTTTGGCCCTAAAGGGTCTCCCCAAGCTCCTGCCTCAGGGTGTCGTCCTTCCCAAAGGGCATTCAGGCTCCATGTAAGTCTCCTATAAACAGTTTGCAATGTATGGTAGCCCCAAAGTTCATGATCTCCTATGGAGAAAAGTAAGAACCTCGACAGGCGGACTGAGCCTGGACGCCATAGCACCAGGTTCATAAAGATCCCGATTAGCTGCACAACTTTGCCATATTGCGTGGTAACACGTGCGTTGTCACCAAATATCCCCAAAGGAATGCGATCAAAGTTGTCGCAACTCTGCGCCCACTTCTCCCCAAAGTGGGAATGGTGGTTCCAGTACCTTCGAACCTCCTCACGAGGAATCGCCACTTTTGCTTTGTTGAATAGGTATTCTATTACTAAGTGTGGGTCCAATATTGGTCTGTCTTCCAGTCGGTGCTTGAATTCACCGTCGCTCAAGTCTTTGAATTTCACAGGAACTCGGATTGTTTGTATTTCCTTGTGTTCCAGGCAGCCACACGTAATTAAACGAAACCAACACAGTTTGAAAGGACATTTGTCAATATTATATATATCAATGAAAACCCAAGTAACACTGGAGCTTGAAGCATTGCAAAAGCCTACTAGAATGTCAGTGTATCTTTACAATGTAGGGCCTAGCATGCAAGATGTAGCACACAAAAAAAGAATCCCCTGCAAGCCACCAGTAAGGATATCCGTCATCCAAGAGTCTGGACCATCTCCTAAGACACGCCACCAATCCCGAGAGTTGTTCTTGCCCGATAGTTTGCCAAGCCTCCGCGAGACTGGATGCATAACTCGGTTTCCAGTGTCCTGGGCAGCAAGAACTTGGAACAACTCAGGTGTAGGAATCCAATAGCCAAATTGAACAAACAAAATCACACTCCATCTACGACCTGTGAACGTAAATGAATTGAAACTATGATCCGATTGAACATTTGTAACACAAGGATATTCCATCCACCAGAGTTCAAAGGTAAAAAAACTAGAAAGAATTGCAAAATGTCATATGACCCTACCAGAGCAGATTGCATTTCAAAAAAAACACAACATTACTTGAAATGGACTGAAGAATCTGAACGTTCTTAGCTTGGGACTGCGCGCATGGGAAGGAAATCAACATGTCAAAACTATTTCCAGCTAAGGGGCCTGAAAACAAACTAACATACAAGCTAACACCAGAACATATCAGAGCCACACCCACCACCAAAAGCAACCAGAATGCCAACAGCAACAGACACAGCAACAACAACAGCAGCAGCAACAGCAGCAACAGCAGCAACAACAGCAACAGCAACAGCACCAACCACAACAAGAACAAAAACAATAACAAAGACAAACACAATAAGACAACAATACAAGAACAAAGGCGGCCACAGCAAAAAGTTGCAACAATACCATCAACAACAGCAATAGCGATGGCAACAACAAACTCACCAGCTATAGCAACCACAGCAACCCCTGCAGCCACAACAACAGCACGCATCATTTTTGAAACCGTATTCAAAAAACTCACAAATTCACTTGCAAAAAAATGCAACATATGCAAATCTTGAACTAAACATGTACTAGCCCTGTGCCTCAGGTGTTGCCAGCTAAGGCCAGCCTTGCTTTAATGGAACTCAAGTTGGTTTTAATATCAACAAATTTCAATGTGTTCGTGTAAAATCAACAAACACCGGTATGCCAACTTCAATTGGTACCAGGATGTGAATCACTCTCCTATCAAATGATGTTTTTGGTGGATTGCTTTGAAGATGTGTCAGCATGCCTAAGCCACGCATTCCAGGCATGTTTGCTGGAAAGGGAAATCGAAGCCTTTCAAAAGGTTTAGAACCATGGGAACGCATCGTATCGCTCGACTATCAATTGATAACTCCCATGTTATACAATATACATTATAATAAGCTTGTAATTGCACGATCGGATGAACTAGGATCGATCAGAATGGTTGATTTTGCGGTATTAGATTCCAGGTCATATCCCATGGGGGCATGGGCGCCCAACCTCTTTCCAAAAGAAATCGGAATTTGATGTTTTTGAATCATGCATGCAAATGTAAAATCTATGATTCGCAGTCCATGACTTGTGGGTTTTGTTTTTAATGTTTTCGTCAAAAGTTAGAGGGTACCAAATACCAGATTATCGATTTCTATACCCTACCTGAATGCCAACCAAAAATGTTTCGATCAATCAAGAGCACCAATGATAAATTTCAATCATCTAAGTCGATTAGGGTGTTTACCAGCTCATCCTGAAGTCACATTTCAGTTTCTTATCAACTTTTTTGTTTAACATATATGCTTAAAAAAATATTGCATAATCAAATCCGATAAATATATTATAGTTAAAGATCACCTGGTGGGATATAATTTTTATTTCCCAGAATTGTCACAGCATTCCCCACCATTTTGGGCATCCTTCTGCCCACCGTCAACTGCAAGGAACTCTGGCATGAGCTCGTAGCCCTTTCATGGCCTTTCCAACGCTGGAAGCCTCAGCCAGCTGCTGGAAGTTGGGCCGGTGGCTGGAAATTGACAGGTTTATCCATGATGAGGGGCATGTCATAAAGTCCTTCAGGGAAACCATGCATGTGGCTCATGGGATGTCACTCGTCAGCCAAGACACTCCACTGGAAACGTCATCTATAGCATTCTCTAGGATAGCAGATGTCTCTGCATCAGCAAAATCTTGATCACCTGCGTGGGGGATTGGGAATTAACTCACACACTCCTTGTACCCAGAGCAATCGGAAACTGGAATCCAATTTTTGTTGGCAGAACTGCATGGCAGCCCGGGAATACTATTGAAAATACTTTTTCTTGGCGTTCCTGCCATGTGCGACCTCCAAATCTCACGAGATGCACGTCATGAATGGTGCATGTTATCACACACACATCCAGAGTCTGGTTCCAAAGCTAAGGGATATTTATTGAGGCGTTTTGCCACCAGCTAGATTCTTTCCAAGTCATGACTGCGCCAACAGGGCTTGCTCCCCACAGGAATGTGCCAGCAATCCAATTGATTGTACCAGAACCAATACCGATCAAAATTCCAAACTTGGTCATGTTCTAGTGACTGGTGGGTAAGAGACTGGCATATTTGGCACGTGTTCCATCCCACGCATGCCCCCAAACACCCTAACATGACTGTACTTGAATCATATTTGAGTCTGAAATCTCAAAACAGAGACCGGGGATACGCATTCACTTGAGGTTGGCTCGGGTCAAGAAGTCCTTGTATTCCGTCTCAGCTTTGTCACACTCATCCATCCGTCGTGTGATGTTTTCAGCCTCAAAGCTAGGCCGTTAGATGGTTTGTTCCATGAAACAATATAAGTGACAAATTATGTTAGGGCCTATGTAATAAATATTAATAAATAATATATGAATGATGTATGTTTGATACTTCTTGGCAACAACCTTACAATGAATTATTACATGAAAAATACCACGTAGTAAAGTATAATCCACACAAAAACCAAAGATGAGGGGCATTGCGGAGATCAATGTCAGCCTGTAGCTTGTCCCTTTTGCTGACCAAATTCTCCCAGCAAGTCTCGAAGTCCTTCTCAATCACACCACGGATGCCAGGACACCTCAGATGACACGATGCGGGTGCCCATGATCCTGGGAAAGGTCCCAAATGGTATCTTTGTGGGGTATATATTTTAAACTGGCTCTTAGCAATGAAAAATATGTTGGGGGGATTCCAATTATGATATTATATGATTGGTCATAATATGGCTAGGGACGGCCTAACCTCACGAAACCAAAAAAACTATGAGGGCCATTTGCAGCCTGGCTGAAACAGCAAAAACACAATTCTGTGGGTTTCAAAAGGATAGTGCATTACCAACTTGTAGGCATATTATGTATCCATCCAGATGCTATGTTTCAAAGGTAATAATTATGATATTAAGTAAATTAGTTTGTGGGTATATTAACTACATATACCCAAGCCCTAAACCATCATTTGGGACCGGGATGTAAACCTCTTTAGTATCCGTACCTACCATCCGTAGACCATGTTTCTTCAAACCTTTTAGGGCAACACCCCAAAACATAAACCCTAATTTGGGTTGTCGATCATTTCATTTGGTATTCGTACCTACAAGGCCTAGACCACTTGTCCTAAATCCTAATTAGGAATTAGGGCTTTTGGTTTTGGATAGTGATCAAAACCCTAATCCGGCTGTGGGTTCCTCTTAAACCCTCACGCAAAAATATCATTTCCCATGGGACGAACTGAAAGGAAATATCCTGGTATGGAATCGTAAGGAAACCTCGTGATAATGTTTTTTTGTAGCATGGATTTTTGAGGGTACCTGGTCAAAGCAAACCTCATATCTCATCCCACAATTAAAAGCTTACAAAATCATACGGTTTGAGAACCAATAGTCCATGATGTTCGAGTGCCAATATATTATATCTATACCATACTATTTGGCATGGATATTTTTTTTGGATAACTATTAATCAACTAATAAAAATACCCCAGCTCCAGCACTGGCAAGGGATGGAGCCATCTTCTCTGACATGTCTGAGGCCCGATCAGCGTATTGATCACGTCAACCTTCTTCGAGGCCTTCGTGATCTTGTCACTGGCAGAGTTCAACACCTGGCCGAATTGGGGTTTCTGCACTGTAATTGAAGGCCACCATGCGCAGACAGTTATCAATAATTTATAGGGACATAATGTCATGTTTTTTTTACACGGGTGTCTAGCAAAGAATTATTAATCTGATAAGTAGGGATCAAGATATGATAGAGTTGAAAAACATGGATTCACAATCGTCTTTTTGAAGATCTGTACTGTACCACAGAAGATGGGTATTGTTGAAGGTTTTCTGTGACCTGGCCAAATCCCAAGGGGTTCCAAACAAGACACGATCACCTCCCATTGTATGTCTATGGCAGCCGGGCTCTGGACAAGATTTCACCAGGTCTTGTAGACATATGCTTCCAACCCTGTAGCATGATGTTAATATGGTGACCCAAGTAGCTACAATGAAACAACATAGCACACACATGCGCACACACGTGCATAACCCATCTTGGGGGGCAGGCCTGCAACACAGAAAATGACCAGCCTTTTTCGCTTTGGCAATGAGCTCATTCTCTGCTTTGTCCTTTCGAGTCTTTTCTTCCTTGTCGGCTTTCTCCTTTTCTTTCCTGAGACGCTTCTGCTTCTGCTCATCAGTCTCTTTCTTCTCCTTCTTTCCCTTGCCCTTTGACTTCTTTGCCTTGCCACCCTTCTTCTTTTTCTTTTTCTTGTCCTGATTTGGGGGCTATGTCAAAACCAGAAAGACAGGTACAGTATGTGTCAGAGAAGGAAAAAGGGAGAAAGAGAGTGTGCGAAATACATTATACATGCAGCCAGTGCTTCAATCAGAGTATGAGCACAAGTCACACCCCAGAATAAGTGTATGCACATGAGTTCTGAACTTGCCTCACCCGACGCACCGGAATCGTTGCTTTCATCATCGCTTCCTTCATCACTTGAGGGGCTGCTTTCACTGCTGGGCTTCTTGCTCTTCTTGCTCTTTTTGGATTTGCTGCTCTTCTTGCGCTTGGTGCGGCTGCACTCAGAGTCGCTCTCATCTTTGTCTGCTGCTGAGAATAAATCTTCGATTATTGAGTCTTCCTTTTCGCTGATCCCTTCGGAATCCCAAACCAAAAAGAGGCGAAGCGCCTGACAGCAGTCTGGGAGTATGGCATGACATGTCACAGGAAGTTGTATTTCCAGGGTATGTCTTTTGATATTGTTGGGTTTACTGTATGTCACATGTCGCATTGATTTTAGACTAGTGCCGAGACTTCCCGAACCCATATCACCGATATCACCTAGCCTCAATGCCCACCCCGTCTGGGTGCCATTTGGTCTGGCTGGCGGCCAACTCTTTGTCCGCCAGCTTTGCATCACATATGCAGTCTGCGATACTTTGGTCTTGGTACTTTGAGGCTATTTGTGTACGGGTTAACCACACCCTGGCACCATGGCAAGTGGTTGTCTTCCGCTGCGTGATGGTCTTGTAGAGCTGTGAGCTTGACCATTCTCCTTTCGATGCTTCCCATGCTTCGAGAAGTATTTGCAGCTTCTCGTGACCTCATTTGAAAGGAACATTCCAGGAAACAAATTCAATTGTTCTACTGCCAAAAATGCTATAGAAAAACTTTGAAAAACTTATCAAGTTGAAGCTGCAAACAGGATGCGATGTTCAAATGATTCACTTGCAACATAAGTGCATAGTATGTGCAAGCCATGTATGTATGTGATTTGCACACCAAGGCAACCAGCCCAAAAATATAGATAGATAGCACTCATGTAATCTCACACGTATGTATCGCATTTATGTGTGTATGTGCGGATGCTCTTTCACACCAAGTCACAGTAAGCTGCGGACTTGCCAGCCCGTCGGATTTCCACTGGGGTCTTGGCACCTGATGAGGTCACAAGTAAGTTATTGCAATCCAGAGTGTGGTAACCAAAATGTTTTGGAGCGCGTGTGTGTGTGTGTTCCACATAGGACATATATCCAACCGTAATATACATAGGACATAACACATACAGCACACACAATGCTATGCAAGACTTTCCAGTAGTACAGTTCCCACCATGCTGCATGCCTGAGCCCAACAAAAGGCATAAAACTTTTGCTAATTATGATAGCTAGCACAGGAATGTCACGGATCAAGCAGAACGCATGTATGTAAGTGCACATGGGCAAACATATTATTATGGATTTGCTGTTTGTTTTTATTGCTGACAAGTTGCTCTTGAGACTTCGGCTGAAGCGCATGTATCTGGCGTGCATTGCTTTCTGGTGTGCTGTTTTCACCTTTTTCCGTCTGTCACCTGGCTCATCTGGCGGGCCACCACCGGTGCTAACAGTGCCATTGGTGTTGTTCTGGGATTGGTCTTCTGCATCAGCCAGGGTATCCAAAAAGTCTTGGGGGTATTCTGATGGGTGATTGATGTTGTTCTCAGCATCATCAGTATACACAATTTTGTGGTGGGGCTGCCAGGTTGTTGGGCGTGGAGGTGGCGCTGAACACTTCGGGGGCGGTGCATTTGCATTTGCAGGTGTCGCTGATGGGGTCCCTGCAGGCTGCGCAAGATCCTGTGTGTTGGCACGCTGCATGTTTTCATTTTTTGCATGTGCAACGTGGGTGGCTCGCCTTTGACTGGTGGGAGTTGTGGTCTTGAGGCCAGGCAGTGTGACTGGTTCCTTGGGTTCCTTCTTGACAAGGAGCATGGGGGGCAGGGAAGCTTTGTTCTGACCAACACTAGCAGGAACAGGCATGCCATCTGCAGTTGCCGTGTATGCATGGGTCCGGACAGAAGCGGGGGAACCGTCACGGGGTCCACTCTGCTGAGGGGCTGCGGTGGTTTCAGGAGGTGGCTGGATTTCATTGGCTGCATCACTGCCACTGGCATCAGGTACTTCAGGGACAGCATGGGAAACAGGGACGGGCGCAGTTGCTGCATCTGTCGTGTCTGGTCTAGCTGCTTTTGACTTTGCTGCTGAGAGGCGATTCTTCTTAGCACGCTGATTTCTTTTGAGGTGTCGTGGGCGTGAAGCTTTGCTCTTGCTGCCGGTGCTGTTGCCAGTTGCTGGCTGTAAAATCGCCTGATCACCCACTGATCCGTGCAAGATTGTTGGTGTGTTGTTTCTCCGAATCAGGTGTGGTGGTGTCACAGGGCTAAGCTTTGACATAGCTAAACCTTCCAAAGCATTGGTCCTGGCAGCTTCATCTGTGGCTGCCACTGTTGTCGCAACACTTGCTTTTCCTGGTATGCAGAGGCCCAGATGCTGATCTGGCCAGTTGTTGTATAATATGCACATTTGGGGTTTGGTTAATACACATGAAAACACATGACCTCTAGAGGAATAACTATTCATTAAAAAAACAAGCGCCCAGGAACCGTGTGTGCATAACCGCTCTTTAATAAATACATAGGGAACTATGTGCATCATGGATAGCCGATGTATTATTTTTTCGTATATTTTATAGATTTTATCATATAGTTTATAATAATAATATACTGTATTTATTATATATTATATTATAATATATAAATATCGATCTGACTATATGGTATGTTGATCGTGCATGGCACTCCTGATACAACAACTAAGCCTAACTAATCACCCAGAGTAACCACATCAGGCAGTGTAGTCGGAGGTGACCCTGAACTCATTCAATGCTGCCAGAATGTTATATAACTGTGGTTCACTGTGAGTTCATGTTGGGAATCATCAGGGAAATAATGGATAAATTTGATGAAAAAGCCTACATGTATCAGCGAAGAACATATATAACATTTTCAGGCCAGAACAACTAACCAAAACCATTTACACGCCACACCAAAGCACCCGAACAGGATGGCACAGAGCGGTCCTGAAGACGCCGGACTCCAAGCATCAGAAGGTGCGCCTGATGGGGGTGAAGCAGTCGTAGATCTCTCTGTGGAAGAGCCTGTGCTTGCCTTTCCTTTGGTGATAGTACCCGAAGTCGTTGTAGCATCATTCAACCTATAGCAGTGGAAGCGGATATTTGGGGACATATCATATATCACAGAATTGCAATTTGTATATCTTTCAATCCCAATTGGA